GCCACTCCGAATTGGGCATGGAAAAAAACTGGGATGTTGCGGACTGTTGTGGCTGGGCTCGATAGCGACCGGGGTAAGTTAGCGGCACTGAATACCATCGTGGGAAGTCGGGCGAAGGCGGCCCTGTATGCTCCAAGAGGGGGCCTCAGGAGACGGACTGGGCCGCCGCAAAGGAAGCTCTTGCATCCGAGTTCGACGCACCAGCCGACCACCAAAAGGCTATGGGGCGGTTCAAGGCGGCCGGGACGCGACCCGACGGTGTTTTCCAATCTGCAGCAGTGACGGGATCGTGCCTTACCGAGATTGGACGGAGTGTACTGCCAAGAGGGGGAGGAGACGGACTGGGCCGCCGCAAAGGAAGCTCTTGCATCCGAGTTCGACGCACCAGCCGACCACCAAAAGGCTATGGGGCGGTTCAAGGCGGCCGGGACGCGACCCGACGGTGTTTTCCAATCTGCAGCAGTGACGGGATCGTGCCTTACCGAGATTGGACGGAGTGTACTGACAGACGTTGTTGTCTTACGAGTTCTTCGAAAATGTGCATCCGGCGCTTGGTGGTCCGTTGCGGTTGGCGGGTGCAAGTGGTCAATTGAGTTCGGAAGTGCTGGTGCATCTGGTACGGTAGTTGGCTGAGGTTCCACTGGCCGCGTTTTAGTTGCAGAAGAAGAGGGATGGTTCACCAATGTGAATCCTCACCAAAGTGGACCAACTTATCGAGCAATTTGCAGCCATGAAGACAATCGTGGAGGCGTGCTCGGACGAGCCGATGCAACAACTGTGGCGTGCCTGACCACTGGAAGAATCAATGTCGTCGTACCCGACGACTTATTTTACTCCTGTTTTCCAGGATGGGTTGCGATTAATGCTGTCACCAAGGCTATGATACCGGCGGTTATCGAGATAGTGCCTAACTGATACAGGAGCAGGGTTGTCACTGCGGCAGAGATGGATTGAAGCTGAATGCGAGCCGTGTGCGCTAGCCATCAGAGAAGTGGGTGGATACCGACTGAAAATTGACTGATTGTCAATGCGCTCAATGCGTCTCGGCGACAGGTCGGCGCAGCACAAATCCCTGATCAGTCCTTAAATAGAGCAGACAATGTTTGTAGCGCATTTTCTCAAGAGCGCAGAATCCGTGTTTAACCTAAAGCGGGGAAAACTGATGACAGAGCACGGTTCAGTCAATCTTGAAGGTTACCCAAATAGCCGTGAGTAAACTGCGTGTCCGGAAGCTTCCGTCTTGCAATGTGCCGACAGTGCAGTCTGTCGTCTCGGCTGCGTACAGCAGAGGTGTTCTAAGCAGCACAATACTTTCTGGTTTCCGGCACTATTGAATAATGTGCCGGCTGTTACGATCAAACCTTATACGATTATAGTGTACGGTTTTTAGGATCGTTATTCCTCGATGGAAGGCAGAAGCGCTGTCTCCATGTGGAAATCCTCTTTGCCTGTAGGAAACAACTCACTCTTCAGGCTTCCATTGCAGAGGACGGTAACATTAACCGCCGTGGAATACGATTTCTCGTAGTGCGATGACCTGCTGCTGTTGGTTTGATTGCTCCGCTTTGGCATTCTTGACATTGTTGAACCTTTAGGAGTGAAGTCTCAGCCAGTCTGGTCCTCGGCGTCATTGCAATTCTCAAGCCCCACCACCACCAGCTCTTGATCGTGACATTGCGCCCACAAGGAAGAGATAGTCCCTTGATTGTGGGAAAGAATGATTAATAGTACGGAGATAGGGTGGGATACATGTTATCTGTAGGAATGTTCATGTGTGGTTGGTGGGGTTTTAGGAATAGAAGATAACTAACAGGAGCTTTCAAGGCACTTCGAAATAATGGACGTGGACATGCTTTATAAAATTCCCTTCACACACCGAAAACTGGACCCGTGGAGCAGTTTTTCTCTAAAGAAGTTACCGATGCATCACGTCTCAACTTCTTCAAAAGGAAGCTGGAAGACTACTGGGTGAGGTTTTCAGACTTGGTCAAGCGCTTCACACTTATCAATTGAGATAGGATGTCCAACGCAGCTGAGCGGGTTTATTCAAGTTGATTACTGTGGCAACTGCCCTACTATCTGATGGCGCATGTTGATGTGTGTTGTTTATGTTTTCTCCCCATCCTCGGTGCCCTACATTTACGAGGAGGTTACAGCTTGAGAATTATCATTATTTTTATTTATTACTACATTTGTGAGGTTTATTGGTATCGTGCACTGTATGTGGGGGTAGATACCTCCATAAGTCAGCTACCAAGGAGAGGTGATAAGCGCCTCCTGCTGTCACTTAGTGAATCCGATGAAAGCGCAACCGGCACTCAGGTCTTTTAGAATCGATGTGGGCACAACGGGGTTGCCCACACGTAGTCACCTGCATTGTTTCAAATGTTTGGGTCTACATTTTTTGGCTGTATGACCAGAAAGCAGTTGGCTTGTTAGTCGGAACGGCAGCACAGAAGAACATTACAAAACAGCCTGAGTTATTACACAGAGTGACTTCTCGCCATTCTGGTGGGGACGGTCACGACACATTCATGTCATCCTCAGCTACGTTGTTTACCTCCAGACGGTTCGTGGTTCGAACCCAACCTCGGCATCTCGACTACTCCTTTCTAGGCTTGGGAAATCCGATAGTGTCTCAGACCTCGTGCTTACTTTGGGTTGCATGACAGCTAGGCATCGAAAGCGTGTTACAGCTGAACTGTGTGTCTCAAAGTAAAAATTGTACAAACGTTACACCAAGATTTATTTGAAGGTGTGAATAAATGGTAAGTTTCGATTAGCGCTACTGATAGTTTCTTTTCACGGGATTTACTGCATAAGGGAAGAACCATGAGAGATGTGAGATTGCTAACAAGCTTTGTGTCTGGGTGCTACCACCTTACGGATTTTTCGTCATTCTGTCCTTGCTTTCGTGTTTAGTATCGTTTTAATTTTTTTTTTCCGTTGTTCGAATAGCATTTACTTTTGCATTTTGCAGGTAGATATCTCGCATGAGTACTTTGTCAAATTCGTTCTTGGTTCAGCCGCCCAGTCAGCCGATTTGCGATAGAATCATCACATACAACAACAGAACTGCTGTGATCCCAGGCTACGAAGGGATCCCGCAAAATCTGTTGATCAATGTCGTCTCCTGGGTGGTACGCTGCTGAAAAATTCTTTATGAAGCTTGTAGTTACTTCTGTTTCTGTTCGCAGTTTTACGCAAGCTTGCTTGGAATTACGGCCAGATTGCATTATCAAAACCAAGAAGAATCAAGTGAGTCAATATTCGCAAACCCCATAGGCGTTGTCACCAAGGCTGCGAATTTCTGTATTATTCTGTATCATCTCGAGGAATGGGGTTGATGCGGACTGTGTCGATGGCTGGTCGGTATTTAGTTTGGGCGCTTACATTGCGCCTTCTTGGGATAAGTACAGTCTGTTTGATAGTTTTCTGCGAACGTTTTGGTCTAAAATTATCTATTAGGACCGCTAGATAGATAGATAGGTAATATCAACAAACTATTTGGAGTTGCGATCATCTCGAAGCTTCTGGTGAATTAGGTATTACTGGCCTCGTTTGTGGATCCACCCAAAACTCACAATCACAAAACCTTGGCACTATTTTAACCGGGCACGTTATTTACACCCATTAATTTCACACCACGATATCAGGTAGATTTCAAGCCGACGAAAACTTACTCATTGTATTTTCACTTGCTAACATTCTTGTGCCCACTCGCATCCTTCTGTCCAGTAAAGATATATGATCGGACTCAAATACCTGTCTAATTCGTATCTTTCGTTTCTGTGTAACGCACTTCAAGGAATCTGATGAGTTGTTTTCCTAACCCCTTCGGACTTTTTTGGTTACTCATTTGATGAGTGGGGGCAGTAGCAAATCTGTTTGAATCCCCTCGCCGAATTGACTCGAGGTGTACGTATCAGGGTTCCCTCCAATACAACGTTTATCTCAATTGGTTATACAGAGTGTCGTTTTCTTCTCCCACCCCAATAGTAGGCAGTAAATTTCATAGACTGACAACTCTGGTCTTTGTCTTTTCACCCAGCTGGACACTTTGACTGCAAACGTTTCACCCACCAATCGAGGGGATATCAGTGCTTTGTTGGGGAGCGTGGTCGGTGACTGTGCAAGATAGTGTGACAACTTACACAATTTCTCCAATAACACTTTCCTTACAGAGTATGAAAGAGTCATCGTCGCTATAAACCATTCAGCTGTTTTCACCACGGAAGATATGGGAGTATGATCAAGTTATCCTAGTTTTAATGGTAGATTTTGGAAGATAAGTTCAGCATTTGCAATCTTATCTCGTATTCATCGCCCACTTTGCCCCTGAACCAAACGTGCAGTCACCCTCTTGGCTTGTTCGATCCGGTTGTGTTTGTTTTGGATGCAAGGATATGTCACAGTTCCCTCATTCCTAACGTAGCTTCATAGGAGTAGCGTGAAGCACTTTAATTGGTACTGGAGTTAATTTTCTGAATAGTCGAGTTGCATGGACTGCTGTTTTGAGGGTCATCCTCGAGATTTCCGTTCCAATGAAGCCCCCTTGTTCCTGACCCACTGCCAACGCAGAAATATATACACTTATTTGAACTTTCGGGCGGGAGGCCCACGTCCCCATGTAAAACGTCGGGGTTGTCATTGTGACCGGTTTCCCGCCAGTTTCGTGTGATATGCGTACCTAAGTAATTTCTCAAGTGGATCACCGACAGATGAAAAAAAAACAACTTCTCTCCAGAGACGTAGACTGGCAAGTGTTCTCTTTAAGGGTGACTTCTCACGGGCACTCTGATTGACTAAGACCGTCACGAAGAGACTGGACCTTAGTTGACTAAGAATTCCATGATCCAACGAGGCATTGGGTGCACACCGAAATTGGGGATCCCACCGGCCTGTCTCCCACCCAAGGAAGTGACTTAAGGTCCTTACTTTCTGCCTCGAAACGCTATCGGATCACATGGCCAGATGAGCTTCAATTAATACCACTCAAAGACGCTGGCAGATTTTTGTGTTCCAGCTCGTCTAGGCTATTGAAACTAACTTGGTGACGACAATGCATTCTATGCAGCTGGATCCACTCAAAGAGGACCGCCTGTAGCGACTGCTCCGGTGGTTGGAGTATAAGTCTATCCAAGTTGTAACATAATCGCTAGCTTCGGTCATGCTGTGCTACTTAACCTCAGCGTTAGAGGTGTAAACTAGAGAAAGTAGTTCAGGATTTTGACCGTTTCGGGGTGTTAGCGGACACACCTTCACAGTACATCTAGTGTTTGAGTAGCACCATGCATGCCGACCAACAGTTGAGGTTTCCATCGGTTTCAAATGTGCCTTCGACTACCTGGATGAATAGGCTGTTCTGTATACATTTTGACAAAAGGGAATGCCCGTTGAGATTGTATGCCAAACCGAACCAAGTTGTGTACACCGTCAGGTTATGAATTTGTAGTATCACAGCACGTGAGAGTAATAAAACAAAGGAACGTGCCAGCCGATAAATGGGCCATTGACTTGTCGAAGACCCGTATCAAGGTCAGATGCGAGCGGGTTACGATTTGCAAGCATGTGCGCCAAGGTTGCTTTCGTGTTACGAGAAGTAGTAGTTAGTCGCCCCAAAATTGGTGTTAACGTTTGTTAGACAGTGAAACAGCTTCAAAGATTAGCATACATGAGCTGAGCATCACCCAGTAGAATTTTCTGAACTAAAATAGAGCAAGCCAGGAAATTTTTAGAAATAATGAATCCAATGGGGGCTGGTGGAACTGATCTCGGTTATCGAAACTGTGTTAGCTGCAGTGTACTCTGGCACACGGTTTTCAGCTGAAGAAAAACAGCACTGCAGTGGCTTGGTGGCAGCATCCGGTCAACACACAGTTCCAGGAAAACTATGGGGAATGAAAGAATGTATGCGCTTGAGATGTTATGAATAAGGTGATGCATAACGGACGGAATGATGAGAAAGCCGTATTGCTTTGCTCAAAACTGGCTCAGAGTACTTGGATCAAGAATAAGGTTAGGAAGTGGTTTGGTCACCATCAGTGTGCTTTGTATATATCTCATCAGGAGACTGATAACGAGACAAGGTCTTGAGAGTATGGAGGTAATTCTGAGAACCAGATAAGGGCAACGGGGACAATGTCTTCGGTATATTTGCGACCATTAAGGTCGGGGGCAACAGGCATTTGATATACATGAAAATAAAGCAAACGCCATAGTTGTATGAGACCGGGAAGTTTCTTGTCCGTGTGATGTCTGTCCAGCAAAGAACTTACCGATGTTGACTTCGTCATCGAGGTTAGTATCAGAAAGTACTCCATTTCAATACTTCCGGTCTCTAGGGCTTACAGTTAACTATTCAAAAGTTTCCTCACAACTCGCGTTTATCGTCACGGGTTGCACACACATGGAGTGCGCTATTGACATTGCTTCTGTTTAACGATTGCCTCCGGACAAACCACACTAAGTATAATCTCAAAGATGACCCTTTCTTTCGTCCTGTGTCTTACACTTCTCGCTTCCTATATCAGGATTTTTCCGCCTGTCTGATGGTCACAGTCTTCCATTCGAATGGGAGTTTTCCGTTTTTCAGAAAAATGGGGTGTACTATCACTAAGGCTGAAAACTCAGCCACCTCTTTCAGCTCTATACTGTTCCAACTTGACTGGAAGAACACCAACTTGAAGAGAAGGAAAGTCAATCGTGTTTCTGTTACGCATGGCTTACTGATCGGTTCTCATCACGAAAACAATTTTCTAATTATCCCGATTAGTAAGTTAGTAAGTTAAGAGTTAGCTTTGTGAATAACAAAGCAGACTTTGGATCTCGTCAACAGTGCCACTGCTAGCAAGAATGATACCAGTGGAAACAACTTCAGATTCACGCTACCCTAGCGCTTCAACTGAGCTTAAGCACGGCCAGTACGGGTACAAGCTTTCCACCGATGTCCTCTGTGGGTACAGATAAGCAAGATTCATTATTCAAGTGATCTGTTTTTCAGCTTTACAATCTGCGCGTAATTACTTGACCCAGTAAGCATGAGAATTTCAATTTTGTTCTGTCTAGGTGTTGCGATTTGCGAACGGGTTTGTAACTTCTATGTCGGTCCTTAGTTTTCCGCTCCGCTCACAATGGTGTGACGGACTGTTCCACGAGAATCCACCAGAATCTTCGTGAAGCGACGATAAGTGCGGACTTATAAATGTCCAATCCTGGACGCTGCTTTTCTGGCCAATCAGGGTATGCCTTCGTTCGCTACTCAACCGGCTCGCGGTACATCCGTTTAATCCATGTGCTTGGTTATTTAGTGACTCGCCTCCGGACCGTAGACTAGCCACCTAGTAAGCACTCCTAATTCATGACCGACCTGTGTATAACATTCAGTAGCACTGAGATAATGCAGATCAGCCGGTGTGGTTTTACAGCCATATCTTGATTTCGGTTCCACTAGCTTCCCTATTATCATGACAGTGTCCGAGTGTGTAACACGCTCAGAAAAAGGCATTTGAAGCCAGTCCCAGCGGTTTGTTTTGAATGATGAGAACCAACCAGTGGACCATGTGTAACAGCAGCGCGACGGAGTCTTCTCCTCTGGAAGTTATCCTTCAGAATTTAGATGTTATACTTCCTTCAGTCAGTCCTTCAGTGGGAATTTTGTAGAGGTTGCAATGCTGTCTGGTCAAGGTGATTTTTATGGGTGCGGTAGCTGTACCCGATAAGTATTGTAATGTCTGTAATGTCATTACAGTAAACCAAAGCAGTTCTGGCGCCATCTTTTGAGCTAAGACAGGACCATAGTAATGTGCTAAAACCAGTGCCTTGTCTCCATTGATCATGGCAGTGTTGAACAGAAGGCAAATCATAAGGTTGGTGTGGTTGATCAGAGCGTGAACGCATATACGCATGAACACGCGATTACTCGTATGTGTGATTGGAAACGCTGCAAAATACTGTTGTTTATGCTTGACAGTGGTGTTGTCAATTCCTATCCAGACTGCTGTAATGAGTATTTGGAGTTGTAGGCACCTCAGAATGATTGCAATAGACTTGCATTAGTTGGAACCGACTGAATGGTCATCATTTTCGGAAAAGTTTGGTGATGGTCGGTAGATTTATTGCTGGGCTTAGCTGATTGGTTCTCTTTCCACCTTAAATCTCGACCAACCTCCTAACTTGATCACTTGGCCTGACGACGCTTTTGTGTCAAAATCGTAACGTTGCCCAGCAATAAATCTACCGATTGCTACCAAACTTTTCCGAAAAAGACTAGCACTGAGGTCATTCTCCGGAAGGTCCGTGGTTCGAACTTGACACCTGCATCTCGACTTTCCCTGTCAACCTGGGCAACCTGTCAGTACTCCAGCCATCGTGCTTCCTTTGGATGACATGGCAGCTAGGCACCGAAGGAGTGTTACAGCTGAACGGTCATTTATTTTTTTCATTCCCCATCCACTGTCGTTCTTCTATTCACAATAGAACTTACAAATAAATTGTGGTTGCACGGCAGAGGAGCATCATCGGTGAAACCTAACGTTGTGCCGTCGATGATGATGACAATGTGGCTACTGGTTGTATCGTAAGCCGTCTTCATTTCACCGAAGCGTCATGAAAGTAAACATCTGCGGAACGTTGATTCTCATTGGACTATTTGTTACGTGACGTGACTGCTAGATCCACTTAAGCAGTGGTGACATATAATCCAGTAATTATGAGCCTTACCGACCCGAATGACGATTTTTCGGCATAGGTACTGGACTCTATTAACACCTCATGACACGTGTCTAAGGTACCAGTTGGGGTTATCGTGGTACTTTTACATACGCATAATCACTAGGTGCTCTGTTTCTTGCTCATGCTGGTGGCAGCTTGAAAGAAAAATCAGTCAACAAGCTGTGATTTATGTTTTTCGATGTTGTGTCTGTTTGTGAATCATATATGTTTTTGTCCGCATTCAAGGTGAGCCCACGGCAGGTACCTTATCATCATGTAGAGCACACTGACGCCTCAATCCTGTACAATCAGCGCTTGTTTGAAAACCCCACTGTGAAGGAAGAGTGCGAAGGGATAAGGTAGGGACCCAACACCATCTTATTACAATTATTCCGAAGTGCTTACATCCTCAGATATCTATTCAGATATCCTGTATAGAAACTGACAGTAAGAAGGCCATTGACATCGATTGACAGACAGGCTCAGAAGGTCACGTGGCTCCTATCCTGGAAGGCGGGATGCACCGGGTTTTCATAATAACCATCCCCATCACCCATCTGATAGGTCAAACGTCGACCACCCCTATGCTAGCACCACGATGAACTAGCATGTACAATACATGATCAGATCAGCACAGCTTCCGGCTCTGGACACATCCCCCGTTTGACCCCCTGCTGCACAACCGGACAATCGTTCCTCGTTATCCTCGTTGGTGGTTCGCTGGCACCAGCCCACATTAGCTGTAGCTTCAGGACTCATTTCTATCACTCTTAGAGGCCGCATCGCAGAACCATACGATGCATACTGTAGCCTTGTAAATATGCCTCTTGTGGTGGACGGATGTGCCTGTTTGTCACCATAAAGCAACAACCATGGTCTGAGCGATTCATGCCTCCGTCAGAGTTAACACGGACTTCAGGCTACATAAGACGCTCCATAGTTTTCAGTGCTTCTGTTTATTATATTCAGTCCAAGAGCATGGTTTTAGGTTTTTTGGAAGTGAGCCTGCCTATTATCCAAAAAACCCTCCGGTTCATGTTTTCTTCGTTAATAATTTCATATAAACGACACGGTTTGCATGGGGAACCATTCGATTATTGTGGTTTTTAGACATTCCAGCGTTATAACTGACTCGCCGATCACCAAATTCGTGTAGTGAGAGTGGGCATCTTTTTCTTACACAATTTTTCTTAAGCAAGTTTTTGAGGAGTTTCCCATTTACTGTCACACGTCCGCGTGTATTTGGGTGCAATAAACTTATTACATTTACGGACTTCATATATTCCTTGCTGAGCAAGTTTCTTTAGGAGTCAAACGTACTCTGGTAGTGCAGAGATACTAACTTATGGGCCCCTTCCTGTTCTAGCAGCTGACAGTGTGTGAAGACGTGGTCAACATGTCCTACTGCTCTTATGGCAATTCTTCAGTGGAAATCAACACAGCGGAGGACAAATGACGCTAAGATTCTCGTCATAAGCTAATCAATGTATGTTTGCCACGTTCACTGCGGACCCACTTGAAAATGAGCACGACTTCCCCAGTCGTCTGGAGCACCTCTCAAATACAGGCGAAGAATTTAGACAACTGAGGACCATACTTTCATCCGTGAACAACCCTGGTGGGAGGTAGCACTGAGCATGAGCTCGGTGGCGTTCGAGCAGAGAGGCTTCCGTGTTCATTTTCGGGAGTCGAGATAGCTCAATGTTTAAGGCGCGAACTTACTGACCGGACGGTCCATGGTTCCAACCCAACTCTGCATCTCAACTGCTCCTCCCTAGGCTTGGGTAACATAACAGTATCTTAGCCCTTGTGCTTCCTCCGGGTGGCATGGAAGCTAGGCACATAAAAGGTGTTACACCTGAATGAATACCTTTTTGTCCGATTCGAGAATCCTATTGAATGGCAGCAGATGGCCACACTGCTGCGACCGAGAAGTTGAAAGACTGTAACGGGTTGTGGGCTGTCGAAGAGTTTTGAGCCACCTTATGAGCAGTGTTTTCCGTCGAGGAAAAAAGCAACGGGTAACATGTTTGCAGGCATTGCCAAATAAACCGCTCGGGGCCGACTATCAGCGGTATATAGTCTAGCGAAAATCCTCCCACCTGCGACCTTAAGACGCCACCGACCGTACAGCCTGTTATAGTGGCTTCTTGATTACTAGCAATGCACAATCGGGAACGAGAGGACAGTGGTTGATGGTCGGTTCAACAACCGTATCCTGGCCTTGCATTCATGTTTCAGGTACGCAACATATACCAATTTCAAACCAGGTCAGTTCTCGAATCTGAGTATTGCTTCCTATCTGATTCAGTGTACGAATATTCAGTATAGCTGGAGAGACCGTGGTCCGGGATTAAAGATTGCTTTGTAGGTACCGAAGGTTACGGGCACTGGCTGATTTGCTGATGCCGCTGATGAGGGCGATTGAAGACGAGGGGATTGTCAGTCAAAACGGGTGGGTTTACAAGGTGAAGGGGAAATAGATCCGGAAGGCGTTAGCAGCAGCATGTTTTCGTGTACAACTCTTGCTGTGCCTGGGAAATAAGGCGTCGAGAATGGTGACACGATATGGCAGTCGTTGTGACAAGAGGTCAATTATTGTTGTGTGCATCATGGTTGTGCACGCGCTGGTAGACTTCCAAGGCCGCCACCCCTAAACCGCCAAACGGCTATGGTCTTCAACAGAATCCTTAGGCTCGAGAGCTCAGTTTCAAGTGGCGTTTAGACACGAAGGTCTTTTTTAAAAAGGAAGTCGCCACATATGTTCCACCTCTCAGCCTCGATGGTTAAGAGTCTTCTAAACAGTAACCACCCTAGTGCAGTTCATACATCCCCAATATGGCCCATGGGGTATGGCTGTGCCCAAACTTGCAAGGTCCTGCCTCTTCGTGATGCTGAAATTTAGTTGTCATATAGATTAACACCCCCTTTAGCCTGCTAGTATTCCGAACTCTCACCTTCAGCCAGTTATTCCACCTTCAGGCAACGCTACTCAGAATGATTCTCGTTAGCTTTCAAGCAATTTTTCAGCTGGCAAAAAATTGCGAGTCCTATTTCCGGCTGCACTATTCCTGTTATCACCACGTGTATTCTTGTTTGGAGTTTTCCAATAACAAGGCTGGGTCCCAATGACCCAGTGAATACCGTTTGCTATTTACCTCCATCTTTGTGCTTCCACGGTCGTCTCCCTTTTTTTAGGTGGGCGCCCTTGTTCTTTTCCGAAGTGCGCAGGTCCACGATGGAAACAGACTCAATCGACAGCATTGACATAAATTACACCATGCATGATCACGTATGTATCGTTTTTATCTATCCAACAGTATCGCTCTGATGATTACACTTACTTTACAGGGCTTCTGGTTTTGGCTTCGTACCTGTTTCACGTTGACGTGAGTCATTGCTCATCAGCTGTTGGATATTCTACATTTTTCATCAATAAGGTCTGATCATCGAGTCTCATTTTCGTTACCGACACTGTGAGGTTATATCATCATCGTCATCAAGTCAATCGATCAGTCGTCGTCATCGCCACGCAGCCATTACCATCAGCCATGAGGGAGGAAATCTCTAGTGAAGAGTGGGGGGACGGAAGGGTAGGTACTTCGTGCCGAGAAGACCTATGTCCATATGGAAAACATCTTTGGCCAGTATCAAAATCTACACATTTGATCATCACCCAACGTAAGCCCAATGCACGACAGCACGTGAACTTTAGCTAGGTAGTCTGGCTAGGAAACGACAATGTGTAGCTCACTGGCATTGGTTGCATGCCAAGATTTCTAACAGTCGGTATGGAAAAGCCTGGAAGCTCTGCGTTGCTGCTTCGTCCTCGTTGTGAACTGAACAGGAAACCTAAAGTTTAAATGAATGGTCAAATTGAAGTCTTTTGGCAAGGTTTGAAAAGAGTCCACAAAGAGTTACAGTTTGGGGTGGAACGGCGACGCGAGAGCGAAATATTTGTGGATTTCGAGAGGCTGAATTTATATGCTTTCAGTACTTTCCTTCCTCAGATGCCTGTAAGATCAGCATTTGAATTGCCGATGGTTTGCTTCAACCAGGGGTAAGACAGATCCTTGAGAAGGGAATGGAATCCGAAAAGTCATGAGTAGGCCCATAAACAGAAGGAATTTGAAGGTACCTCGTGCCCCTTAAAAATAATAAAAGTAATCGTTAAGCTGTAAATTCCTTTCGGGGCCTAGCTGCCATACCACCCGAAGGAAAAACGAGGGCTGAGATACTGCCGGGTTGCCCAAGCCTAAACAGAAGTCGAGATGCAGAGGTAGGGCTCGAACCACGGACCTTCCGGTCAGTAAATTCGCGCTTTAAGCGCTGAGCTTTCTCGCCCCCCTCGTGCCTCTTGGAACGCGTACGTTACCCGGCTGTTCTGAGAGGGCAACGCTAGAGAGTATCTCAGTCGGCGTTTTTTCAGGAAACTTCTGATATTGGTCATCAAATCCGGATGTATTTCCCATATCGGCATCCTAACAATCAGATCATTGTGCCATACCCTGGATGTGCCCAATGCAGATAACCCGACCCGTGAAGTGCAACCGAGGAAATTACATGGCACCTGGACCCACACCGGTAGTCTCCCAAGAGAGCATTTTTCACAAGGTCTTGTAGTGACCTTAAGAACTCATTTGCATTGTAGTAGCTTTTTAGATATACACATACGATTGTGCGGTACTCGCACAGTTTTTCTTTGAAAAGAGTTGATTGCTTGAACTACTGAGAATTACGGAGAGAGTTCTGGTACACAGAATGGGAAGAATACCTGAAATTTAAGACTGACATCCTCGGGGATAGAAAATATTGACAGGCTCACAATCACAACGACGTTTTAGGGTGCGACTTTTGCATTTCTTAGCCACATCTCCCATGAAACCTCGCTGCAGCTTGGTTGATCTGTTTGATTTCTTTGTTATAGTATCTGTGTGAAACGCTCATTGATCACCTGATACTCTTACTATACAGTGCTCATCTGTCCAGTGTAAGAGCGTGTCAGATTGATCTTTACAGGGATATCTGCCGCAGGGGTCGACTAGATGGGCGTGATAGCTGCCGTATCAGTATGATGCGCCTACTTATATGGGTGAAGAAGCAAGTGGTGGCTCTCTAGCGCTTTATTAGAAACACATAAATCGTGCTACAGTTGTACGTAGTTAAGTAACATGAAGTTTTTTTTTATCCCAACAGCGTACTCGATGGAAGAAATCTAAATGCGGTTCGACCAATCTGCTAGCGCATTCACGCCGAATCATCCGTTATGTTCTTCAGAACGCTACTCTGTTTAATTTCCTTCTTCAAGTATGCCTGTTACTATTACTACTGCCACTTCTTACGGGGTTTCGCCGAGGCCAGCGACATGCAGACATCTTGTTCATTCTGACTACCTGAGATGCTGTGGTACTACGAATTTTTTTCCAGTGGTTGCTATTACCTCACGCTGATAAGGTATTAGGTTATCAGGTGGGATTGTATTGCATACGCACTAGATTGTATCTCGGTTGGTGACTAAGCTTTGTACCTCTGGAGTATCATTTATTGGCTTCCAACATTTAAACTACGTTCCGACGCACAATCCATTTGGACGGCAAGCTTTCTTTCAAATAATTTACTTGGTTATTTGTTCAACGTGATAATAGACCCCATTCCGGTCCTTTAATTCAACTTCATAAGGGCTTCCGACGTGGAGCGCACTGCTGGACTCGATGCAGTGCATTATCTTCGCTTCTTGTCCTACTTGATTGCTTACACTGCCGTGACAATGGTTTTCTGCTTGACCGTCATACTGCCATTGAATATAAAGGGAACGTTAAAATGTGAGTTCAATCTGTTGACTTATTCTGTAAAGGCTAAAGTAGTACTCCCTAAGCATATATAATGAGTCACTAACTTGGGAGTGTGTGACGCTCCAATGAGAAGAAATGTAACTCGGCGTTCATTAGCACAACACACGCGGATTGAATGAGTATCATCCACAACTTGATGTGACTCGGTACACTTTTCACTATTCAATCTTCCGTTCATCGCATATAGCCTGGTACGTAACTACGTGCCGCATGCAACACCCTATCTGTTGAATATCTTTTTACGTCATTTGAAGACCTCTCAACACGAAACCTGCTAATTCCGGGCTCCGTTTGGAAGAACCTAAATGTGATGAAAATTACGGGACTTTATGATTATACGCCCGACCATCCTAAACCTACTTAATATGATATAATAAGCGCGTTATTGATTTTCGAAACATCCGTGTGAAGAGATTCGTTTCTCAAAAGCTTCTGGATGATTAGCATTGGGATTACGTTTTATTCGAATCAGGTTCACTGATCAGTCTGTATTATAGAGCCGTTTCAAAAACATGATAACTTCGATCATCGTTGGTAGAACTCATTGCGCCCTCAAACAAAAGATGCGTCTAGTGTGTATTGTGCAGGTTAACTGAGAGATCCAGCGCAGTTAGTTGCAGCCGTCCCATCTAACAGGTTACCATTTCGGCTCAGATCTTTCGCTTCGTTGCATAGTAGCTGACCGCAGATGTCAAAACTGACAAGACGTTAAACCCTGGGATATTGGCTTATCTGACTTAACATCACCTGTAGAAGTGTCCTGGAAATCGCGACGTTTCAGCATGGATACTCAGGCCTCATTTGTGGATCTACTTTGTCAGAGAGGGTACAGTAACCTGGATCGAAACCACGGATGGTGGGCGTATTGTGGTCTGTAATATAAAAGTGCGAGCTGTCTGGCTCCGCAGGACCGACGGAGACACCCAATGAAGTAGTCGGGCAAACTAAACAACCAGTCTCATGTTCAAATCATTGTGGCAATATGCAAACCACTTTTATGTTTCTATTTTCCTCTGAACCTAACCCCGTGTTTTTGTGACTATGATTCGTTTGAAGCTTACCCACTCCACTGTGCCCCGTTTAGTCGCTAACTACTTCCATCGATAAATGTTATCGCATTGTGTTCACATGCTCATTAAACTGTTATTTTATTCCAAACATAGGACCCCCATTAGTAAGCGACAGGGACTACCATTCAATACATTTTTCATTGATAGGCATATACAGGTATCCTTTAGGCTTTTCCTTCCCTTCATTTTGTTTTTAAGCTCCGGACCTTCAAAGTTTCGGGGTTACCACCATATCCAACCTTCCTGGGGAATCGCAAGTCCTCTGGGCTCATGTCGTATTCGGTTTCTTGTATTTCATTGTGGCCTTCTTCTTGATGCAGCACTTTTCGAAAATGCTTTGGCATGAGGTGCCAAAGGCGAAGATTGTGGTAAGTTTTCGAGTTCGGACTGATAATCTTCATGTACAGAGGTAATTTTTTGAAACATTTAATCAGCAGAGGTGTGCGACTGACACTCATTTGTCAGCGCTTCCTCAAGCCTGTAACCCTACCGAAAAACAAGCTGCACCTATTGAACTATCTTGGGGCCATAATAAAAAAACAGTGCAAACAGCATAATCCTACCCGTACCGAAACAGTTAGGATATGAGGGTTTCTGAAATCTACGAATCATGATGATTCCATGAGATGGACTCCTAACATGCAAAATTCAGCGGATTATAGGCTAGCTGGCTGGTCGGTGGGTATGTCTACTTAACTCTGTCCAGAAATGTTTGACATATCACTATCTGAAGCCTCATGAATTGTCGTATATTAGAAGATATTTTCGCCAGTTCCCTGGCGATTCTTCTGTTGACATTGACTCCCCACTTTTCGTCACGAGAGACGGTCGATTGTCTGTATTCTTATTATCAGTCAAAACGTTCAACTCAGTCGTCAGTTGAACCCATTAAATACCTCATTTTATCGTTCACAGAAAATGTCCGCCTTAATTGCGCAGTCACAATGAACATTTTCCAGCAGCACTCACCCAACGCACAGTTGAGCTTTGCCTCAATGACCAAGAGGTTCACATTCCGGTCTGCCTGTATTGGGGCTGCTGAATCATGTGCCTCGCGTGTTACCTACCAGTTGACTTGCGGTTGTGGTGTCGTTTACGTCGTCAGAAGGTTTGACGTCCCACACAAAGAACAGCTCAGTGCCATCCGAAAAGAATAGTACGAGCGAGCGAGTGACAGTTACACAAAACAATCAATCCCCCAACCTCTGGGATAATCGCCATCATGACGTGTAATGGAAAGCGGCCACTTAATTGATCCATTCAACTTGTCCTCGACACTGCTTCTCAATCCACTGAAGAATTCCAGAATTCGATGAATAGATCAGCCTTGTGCGCGCAGGTGTTCGTAGAATCTTATTCTATCTAGGAATTAGCCTTACTTCCACTCCCTCTGGTAAACAATATATTGTTTTATTGTTTTTTGTCCTTATAACCCTGTCTTATATGTTGTATGTTTTGCAAATGAAAGGTTAGGAAGCTGAATTAGCTGAATAGCCTGTGTACTCTCCGTCAACAGGGCTCTTCCACAGTATCGAATCCACACCGAGATCTATCGCTAATCGCGGTCACCCTGGTGATCAAATCACACCACAGGTGGTGGTGATGTTTGGTAAGCAGAAATGCGCGCACTTATTGCGATGTTTACGGGAAGTGAGCAGTGCTATAGCGGCCGAACAAAACGTGTTGCTGCGGAGGCAAACACTCCGCGGGTGAACCACGTACCGACGATAATTGCTTGTTGACTGGCAGACAAAATTGGATTGTGTATACTTCTAGGTGTTTTACTTCTGCCTGATGGACCATCCATGTCAGTCAGTGACAAGTGTAACAAAACATGGCGCATGGTACACGGTGTACTAAATTTAGATGGGTAAAAATGAAAACAAAACAACCAGCAGCCAATGTTTAGTGCCACAAGCGCAGCGCGATTTGATGAAAACCGCAGTTGAGGGAATCCCACCTTCGACGGACTGCAAAGGTGTTTGTTGTCCTGCAATCAATGTACGTCTGGTACCAGTTAGCTTAGCCTATTAGTTTTACAGAATCGTGTTTTTCAATGATAAATAAACGGAACGTTCAGTTGTAATACCCCTTCGGTGCCTAGCTGCCATACCAATAGAAGAAAGCACGAGGGTTGAGATGCTGTCAGGTTGCCCAAACCTAGACAGGAGAGGTCGAGCTGCAGAGGTCGTGTTCGAACTGCGAACATTCCGGTCAGTGAATTCGCGCTCTTATCACTGAGCCACTTCGTCCTCGTGTTTTCCAATTGGAAATAGCATTCTGTGACAGGATTTAGGAAGAAGGTTAGAAGGAACTTGGTATGTTCGAAGTACTGGGACTACTAAAAGAGTCCTGCTTACTTATTGCATTTCTAATAATGGCGTTCTACACTTCGTTTCCTTCATGCTCCCGCGTCGGTGTAGGTGCCTCAGACCGTTGATCTCCTGCCGGAGTCGTAGCAGTTTCCCCAACTACATAGATACCCCATATTTGCACTTTCCAAAAGCGGGAGAATCATTATCATCAAGTGCTGACGTTCAGTGGTTATCGCTACAGTTTCGTTCGCCGATGAATTCGGGAGATGTGATAGATAACTACGCATTGGAGGCGGTAGTTGATATAATTGATGCGTAAATACAAGGTTGTTAGTGGAGCTTTAATTGAGAAGATTGGGAGGCTATACAGTGAAGGCAACAGTTTGGATGCAAGAGGGCCATTGAGGTACTGAGCTGTCTGACACTGTCTCTAGCCATTGGTGTGTCCCACCTCCGGGTCCCCATCCAGGGATAGGGCAATGGCCAGTGCAGCTGAGTTTGCTTGTAATGGCGGTCCTATTTCGCTGTCTAGTCATTGTTTGACCTCTACTAGTTCATTTCAACCCTTCACGCCGCTGCGCGAAAAGGGCCCTTCGAGGAATTCGGTCAACTGGCATACAAAGCACGTGACCAAGCCAGCGCAACCTGTGTAGTGTGATCAGTTCATCTATCGTTGGCGAGTTATTTATTCGACATACTTCAGCATTACTGATCAGGTGTCCCCAAAAGCGTCGGACAATGCTCCGAAGACCGATGGTCAAACACTGAAAGTATTTTGACGTCCTCGGCCTGCAGCGGCCAGGTTACTGATCCGTATAATAACAGGAAGCGCACGGCAGCATTCTAGACTCCACTATTGACGGATAAGCTGATGTCAGACCTACACCACAGGTGGTGCGCGTTCACGATTGCTGTTCTGGCCTTCCCAATCTGGATAGAAATATCATCTTTGGCCAGACCGACCGGACTGACACAGCTGCCCAGGTACACAAATTTGTTTACCACCTCAGTCGGCTCATCAGCAAGCATGAGGTTAGGGTTCGAGCCCATCCAATCTTTCCGACCAATAGAAGAAAGCACGAGGGTTGAGATGCTGTCAGGTTGCCCAAACCTAGACAGGAGAGGTCGAGCTGCAGAGGTCGTGTTCGAACTGCGAACATTCCGGTCAGTGAATTCGCGCTCTTATCACTGAGCCACTTCGTCCTCGTGTTTTCCAATTGGAAATAGCATTCTGTGACAGGATTTAGGAAGAAGGTTAGAAGGAACTTGGTATGTTCGAAGTACTGGGACTACTAAAAGAGTCCTGCTTACTTATTGCATTTCTAATAATGGCGTTCTACACTTCGTTTCCTTCATGCTCCCGCGTCGGTGTAGGTGCCTCAGACCGTTGATCTCCTGCCGGAGTCGTAGCAGTTTCCCCAACTACATAGATACCCCATATTTGCACTTTCCAAAAGCGGGAGAATCATTATCATCAAGTGCTGACGTTCAGTGGTTATCGCTACAGTTTCGTTCGCCGATGAATTCGGGAGATGTGATAGATAACTACGCATTGGAGGCGGTAGTTGATATAATTGATGCGTAAATACAAGGTTGTTAGTGGAGCTTTAATTGAGAAGATTGGGAGGCTATACAGTGAAGGCAACAGTTTGGATGCAAGAGGGCCATTGAGGTACTGAGCTGTCTGACACTGTCTCTAGCCATTGGTGTGTCCCACCTCCGGGTCCCCATCCAGGGATAGGGCAATGGCCAGTGCAGCTGAGTTTGCTTGTAATGGCGGTCCTATTTCGCTGTCTAGTCATTGTTTGACCTCTACTAGTTCATTTCAACCCTTCACGCCGCTGCGCGAAAAGGGCCCTTCGAGGAATTCGGTCAACTGGCATACAAAGCACGTGACCAAGCCAGCGCAACCTGTGTAGTGTGATCAGTTCATCTATCGTTGGCGAGTTATTTATTCGACATACTTCAGCATTACTGATCAGGTGTCCCCAAAAGCGTCGGACAATGCTCCGAAGACCGATGGTCAAACACTGAAAGTATTTTGACGTCCTCGGCCTGCAGCGGCCAGGTTACTGATCCGTATAATAACAGGAAGCGCACGGCAGCATTCTAGACTCCACTATTGACGGATAAGCTGATGTCAGACCTACACCACAGGTGGTGCGCGTTCACGATTGCTGTTCTGGCCTTCCCAATCTGGATAGAAATATCATCTTTGGCCAGACCGACCGGACTGACACAGCTGCCCAGGTACACAAATTTGTTTACCACCTCAGTCGGCTCATCAGCAAGCATGAGGTTAGGGTTCGAGCCCATCCAATCTTTCCGCAACACCTTATACTTCGCAGGCATGAATCGCATGGCAAAAAGTGAGGCGGAATTATTTCGTTTATTTGGTGTTGTCTGCATTACAGTGGCGTCAGACCCAAGATTATGTACTGTCTGTGTACTTGATATCGGTAAACAAACGCCCCGGGGACATTTTGACCCCACAGGCATAAGAGGCTGGTAGTGAGTCTTCCACAAGTGTATCAACGACGAAGTTGAACAGGAAAGGTAAAAGAGGGCAGCGTACCCCTTTTTGGTGATTGGGATAAATATAGATGCACCCCATTCTGTAGGAGTTTATCTTCATTCCATACTCCACCAATGAGTTTTGTCTGGTAAGTCACCAAGGTTTCTCTGCCTTCTTTGAAAAGGGTCGAATGCAGACCGATCGGTCCTGCTTCCTTCTCACATTTCTGTGCGGATATCTCGTATTTTGTTGCTTTTTCTGACGGGTGACTAGGGTTTATATTCCAGTCGCCCGTGTAAACTGCCTCCAGAGGTTGTGTTGCGGGAGGCCAACTAAACGGCTCTTCGAAGTATCCGGCCCATCTCTGCAGTCGCTTTTCGACCAGTTATTCGAAGAGCCGTCCTTTTCGCTTATCCTTTAACTAACCTGTGGCCAGTCGATCGCATCAATTGGTCTATCACATGGCTGTTCCCTGTAGCAAATCTTCCCCATCTCGATCTTTCGATATCCACCAAAGCTCTCGGTCTTCCCTTAGGCTCTTCATTATTTGGTGTCTAAGGGATTTGCGTGCGTTGGTTGCCCGTTGGCATGAATGTCCTGGCTTCAATCAGGACTAGCGATCTCAGTGGTATTCAATGGTCAATTGGTCGTATCAGTAAAGTCAGACGCACAGCACTGAACGCCTTTAGCATGCTTCTTCACACTACCATGCTTCATCAACGTGTTCGCTATCAAGACACTGTTGGTTTACTGTAAAGAGTAGTTGAGCTAGCTCAGGTCGATACTGTTGTGCTAAGTTAGTTCTAGAAAACAACGGATTGGCATGTTTCTGGTTGACTTTCGACGGCCTAAAGGGAAAAAAACCGTCAGGCGTGCACGCATAATGGCCTGATCGGAATCATGTTGTGTACCCCAGAAGGGACGCCAGTCTTGAATTGTGGCCCTCCACCGATGACTGATGGCCACGCGATCCAACTGGATCCACAGTTGATTTGCAGTTGGTGGCCGCCAGGATACGCAATGCAAACGTTTGTGCTGAAAGTCCGGGCTGACCAGAAACAGTTCATGATCAGCACGCAACTGGAAGAGTCGCTCTCCGTTGTCTGTGCGGCGAGCATCGACTCCGAATCGACTGCCAAAATGTGATTTCAAGGAACTCAGACGACCGAATTGAGCATTCATGTCACCCACAAAGGTCAGATTGTCAGTGTTTCTTGCTCGACGAATGAGCCCGGATAACCGTTGGTGTAACGGTGATACTAGTGATGGGGAGGCATGCGAGTGGTATGTTTTCTCGTAAATCCGCTTTGTGTCTCTTGAAAAGTGAGATCCATTGCGGAATTTGTGGAGTCGCTTTGTAGCATGTGCTTGAAATTGAGCAACAGTCAATGAATATCCAGGAAATTTCAGGAAGACGCGTTCAAAGAGAGGATGGATATTCAGGTTTTGTAAACAAGATGCATATGAGAGTTTTGCTTCCCTGTTCAATAGTCTGTAGCTGTTGAGTTGGCATTTTTCAATAAACAACTCCGCAGCGAAGGCCTTCTTCCTTTCATCAGTAGAAAGTATCCTTTCTAGCGTCAAAACCACAGTCTGTCGGGGCATAAGTCGGCAATGCAAACGGGTATCGCTTTTCATGTCGAGAAGCATTGAGCTTGGTTGTGCTGGATAACCGGAAGGCGCAAAGACGACTGTTCACTGGGATCCAATCCAACAAAACGCGTTCAGCCCTGGGGCTGGGCGCAACTCCCACGCCATATATTCCACGAGTCATTGCTTCTGGATCACCAAACACATGAAGGGAGAAATGTGGAAGAGCTGAGTTAGTCCTTTGCGTTTTGAGATGGCTAGCCGCGCTTGGGTCTTGTATGGTTGTTTCAGAGGAACAGCATACATCAACCTTAAGTGAGTATGACGTTTCCGCGAGCATTGCCTGTTTACCGATTTCACAGGCTACAGACGTTAAAAGCTCCTTTGTAAAAAATAAGGGATCTTGTGGATTTTTGTTTATTGTTATTGGGCAGCCGGCCGTATATGGCACATCGGTCAGATAGCTGACAGTCGAGTGACCAAGCAACGTGTGTTTGTGTGATGGGAAGGGGTTGGGGAACTGTGCGGGTAAATGATACTTACCGGTTGCCTAGGCACTGGAAACGGTACTCCACCCTGAATCTTTGACTCAAAAGTCTAACCCACAAGGGAGTGGAAGGATGTTGGGTTTTGTTCGGGGACTCTGTCCCTAGGCCCTGACTTAGAGGCCTGACCCGCGAGGCAGTGCGGTCTAATTTGGGGACCCTTCTCGGATCCGATGACTCCATAATCTGACCTGACCTGCAGAGGGTTGGCATAATTCGGGGGCGCTGGGAGTAAGATATTACCGTCTGATTCCTGATGCTGCTGCGCACACCAGGTGCTTCTTGCGTAACACCAGACCCTTTAAAAGTTTTAAAAGTATTTCGACGGTACCGAATAACGAGCTGGTGGTCACGTCGACCGCTAGGACGATCAAATCTTGCAAATTTAAGACCAACCTTTTCTAACCCGTCGTTTTTTTGAGTGAAAGCAGTATCGCTGCTCCCATAAGTATGCACATGCTGGACACCTGAATGAAACACCTTATTGTAGACTTTATCACTCTGTAATACAGTTTCTCACAATATGTGGACTCGCTGTCCTTCGTCGGCTGCTCTCCTTTGGGCTGTTCGGCATGGTTGAATACTAGGGAACTGAGTCGCAGCCATTGTAGCCTGCAAGATCATTGCAGCATTGAAGGCTGACTATCACGACCAGCTGACAGCTATAGGTCAGGGGTGGAGATCCAGGTGGTGGGCCGATCCAACGGAAGTATCTTAGGTCTGAAATACATAGCGCAAGTCGACTAAAAGTCCACGTAATTTCAATTAGACTAACCAGCTTGTCGTAATATTTACAGTCCCACACAGAGCAACGAAATTTATCAATGGCACCCCAGAAGAATCAGCAATTCAAGTGTCCTGAAGCGGGAAATCGAAATGATTTTGCACCCACACTAACCGACACACAACACTGATCTAGGGTGCTGATTGAAGATGTGACCGATTGGTTGTCTGTTCGCCTAAAAGCCGACCAATATAGCAATCTTCCCATTTGGTCTGATGAAGATGTTGTGCCATAAAACAAAAAGTTCTAAATCTGTCGATTGTTTATCTTCTGAAAAATTCGAAGCAGCTCCCCAGCACGGAATTGCAAATAGCACGCCGCGTTGCAAGTAAGCGTAACACCC